ATGAGTCTCCTTGAGTGGTTGATGTTGGTGAAGTGGGTGGAGTTGCAAGCTCTTGTTGAGATTCATCTAGTTGTTCCCTCATTGTCTGCTCATCTTCTTCAAACTGAGGAAAGAAATTGAAGTCATCTGTATGAGAGTTAAAATCCCATTCTCCTTCTTCGTTAAAGACCACATCTCAACTAATCATAAACTTCTTATTGTTTGGATTGTACAACTTGTAGCCCTTCGAATTTGCATCATAGCCGATGAAGATAAAACTCTCGCTTTTATCATCAAGCTTCGTTCTTCTCTCGTCTGGTACGTGAACATGGGCTATGCTTCCAAAGGTTCTCAAGTGGGATATGTCAGGCTTTCTTCCACTCCATGCTTCTTGCGGTGTCTTTCCCCATACACTTCTTGTTGGAGATCGGTTTGTAAAGTAGACTGCACACGCTACTGCCTCCGCCCAAAATTCCTTGGGTAGTTTCTTGCTTTTGAGCATGCTTCGTGCCATGTCGAGGATTGTTCTGTTCTTTCTTTCTGCCACACCATTTTGCTGGGGGGATCTAGGAACTGTCATTGGTCGATGAATTCCATTTGCTTCACAGAACTCTTGAAACTCCCTGGAAGTAAATTCTCCACCTCGATCGGATCTCATGGCTTTGATCTTTCTACCACTTTCTCTTTCCATTGCTGCTTTGAACTTCTTGAAGACTTCGAAAACTTCTGACTTCTGTTTCAAGAAATATACCCAGGTTTTTCTTGAAAAATCATCAATGAAGAGAAGAAAATAGTTATTGTTACCGAGAGAGCTCGGCTTGATCGGTCCACACACATCGGTATGGATGAGCTCGAGTGGCTTCTTGGCTCTTGTCTCTGACTCCTTTGGAAAGCTTTTCCTGAATTGTTTCCCAGCTAGACACCCTTCACAAAGCTGATCAGGATGGTTGATGCGAGGTAGTCCCTTCACCATCTCCTTCTTAGATAGCAGCTCTAGACCTCCAAAATTGAGATGCCCAAATCGAAGATGCCAAAGCCATGATGCATCTTTATAGCAAGCTTTCAGGCACTTTGCAACATCATTTTATATGTTGATCAAGAACATTCTATTCTTTGACATCGGTACTTTAGCAATGAAGTTATTCTTATCATCTTTTATAGAAAGGTTATAATTATTCATATGAATATCATAACCTTTCTCTACCAGCTGCCCTAAACTTAAGATGTTACTTTTCATATTGGGCACATAGTAGACATTTGAAATAAATTGATGCCTCTCATATTTCAAACGGATAAGAATGTTACCTCTCCCTTTCACTGCTATTGTGGAATCATCTCCAAAAGAAACATTTCCTCTTACTGACTCGTCTAGCTCCACGAACATGTCTTTCCTTCCACACATGTGATTGCTTGCACCACTGTCAAGATACCAGGAATTTGCTTGGCCACCATCAGTTTCCTTTCGTGCTAGAATAAGAGTTTCTTTGCCATATGTCTTTTCCTCCATGTAATTGGCCTTCTCCTCAATTTTGTTGTTGGGAGCTCTACATTCTGAAGCATAATGCCCAAATTTTTTACAATTATAACATCTAACTTGAGATTTGTCATGCCTTGAGTTCGGATTGATTCTTCCACAGCCTCGTGTTGAGCTTTCTCCTTTCTCATAGTTGTTGTTGGAATTGTTGTTGTTGTAATTCCAGCCTCGTCCACGACCTCGACTTTCACCTCGTCCATGGCCTCTACCTCTGCCTTGGCCACGTTGGTTTCTATCATTGCGTTGGCTTTCATGCATATCTTTGTGTTGCAGGTTGAGGAGTTGCTCAGTAAACTCAGGCTTCTTCTTATGCTTCTCTTCGTATGCTTGCAATGATCCTTGGAGTTGCTCGATCGTCATTTCTTCCAAGTATTTAGTTTCTTCAATCGTCACGACGATGTGCTCAAATTTGAGATCCAACGAACGGAGTATCTTCTCTATTATCCTCACATCGTCTAACTTTTCACCATTTCTTTTTAATTGATTAGAAACATCTACTACTCTTGAGAAATAATCTGAAATAGACTCAGATGCTTTCATGTGTAAGGATTCGAATTCACCTCTTAATGTTTGGAGACGAACCTTCTTCACTTGCTCGGATCCTTTGTAAGAGGTTTGAAGCTTCTCCCACGCTTCCTTGCTAGAGCTTGCACTTGAAATCTTTTCAAAACCATCATCATCTAATGCTTGATAGATGAGGTAGAGAGACATCTTGTCTCTCTTTCTTGAATCCTTCAAAGTTGTCTTTTGATCTGGTGTAAAAGTAGCAAAAGCATCATCATCCGCAGGCTCGTTATAGCCTTTCTCTATGATATCCCACACATCTTTTGATCCAAGAAGTGCCTTCATTTTGATACTCCAATTGTCGTAGTTGTTGTTGTTGAGTGTCGGAACTTGGAATGGTGCCATACCATTTTCCATATCTCTCAATATAATGAGATTTTGTAAAATCCGATTGCAAGGATGAATCCAAAACGTTGAAAAAAAAACTTTGGAGGGACTTGGACAACTCGGTCAAGGGCTCCAACTCGGCTGACTCGGCTCAACACGATGAGTCAACTTGATTTTCTGGCATTAGTCTTCCGGCGGTGCGTGGCGGTGCGTCAGAACTCAGATTGAGAAAATTCTGGCGGCATCAGATTCCTCTCGTCGAGACCTTCGATCTTTCCAACTCTCTCTGATACCACTTTGTTGGAAATAAAACACTCACACAAACAACTTTTATTGAAACTCAAACAAATATTACAAGAGCACTCTCACTCAAAAACAAGAACTACAACTTACTCTTATAGGACTTTGCTTCTTCACTCACTTAGAAGCTCTTAATTTTTCTTGATGCTTAAAACTAAAATGGGGAGGGGTATTTATACTACTCAAGAATAATCCTACACCACACAAATAAACTAATTTAAACCATTACAAATTCAACAAATATCTAACTCTCACCTAACTAAATTGATGTAAGCAATGACATCATTACTTAAATGATGTAAGCAATGACATCTTTAATTAAATGATGTAAGTAATGACATCAATTTAGTTTGGGTTTGGGTTTAGGCTCTCATAATGGATCAAGTTTATGATCCAACACCTCTATCTATTTCATGCAAACATCTAAGTTGCCTCTGGGTGTTTGTAATGAGATAGATAAAATTGTTCGGCAATATATTTGGGGGTCTTCCTCTTCCCAGGAAAATATCTCTTGTTAATTGGGAGGAAATCTATCAACCTCTGAATAGATGTGGTTTGGGAGTTCATCTCTCTTGTGATCATAATACGACTTTTCTGTGGAAAATTAGCTATGCACTTATCTCTTTTCAAACTTCTTTTTGGGTGCAAGCTCTTTGCCAAAAATATCGAATGAATATTCTCTGCCCACAGTCCATTGAAAAGCATGCTTGCTCTCAACTTTGGAAAGCATTATCTAATACTTAGGATTATTTTAGAGAGCACTTAATTTGGATCCCAGGGAATGGTAATTGCATTTGCATGCTGGACGACACATGGGTCCCTTCTCTTGGACCTCTTCTTGGCTATCTTCTTCCCAACTATAATCGTGACCTCGCGTTGGGTTTTCATGAAGTTGTCGTTGCAAACGAAAATTGGGATATAAACAAATTATATTTGTTTTTCCAGTTTGAAATCCTTCCTCACATCTTAGGAGGTTTGTGTTAGTTGGGGTGCCACCGACCTGTTTTGGAAGGTAATTTGGACTCTCCCAATTCCTCAACGTATTTGGGTGTTCTTATGGCTAGTGGTTAAGAATCGATTCATGACTAATCATGAACGTCATCGTCGGGGGGTTACGCAAAACCCTTCATGTTCGCTTTGTGGCTTGCACGTGGAAACTTCCACGCATGTGCTTCGTGATTGCCATGCAGTGAAGGCAATCTGGGAAAAAATCTCCCTCCCCCTTTCTTGCATAATTTCTTTGATTGCTCCATCTCCGAGTGGTTGCGATGCAACTTAACTTGTCATGATAAAATTCACGCCCTGTCTCTCTCTTGGGATTTATTTTTTCCTATGCTTATTTGGCAAATCTAGAAACGTAGAAATTGTTTCATGTTCACCGACTTGAATCCTTCCATGGAGTATGTTCTGCGTTTGAGCATTGTATGATCCTCTCATTTTACCGTTACCCGTCCTCTTATTCCAGTCCCTACAACCCATTCCATGCAGGATATAAGGTGGAAGCGCCCCAGATAGATGGATATGCCTCAACACCGATGCAACTATAGATACCTACACAAGATTGGGTTTTATTGGTGGTGTTTTCCGCTCTAGTGCTGGAGACTGGATAACTGGCTTTCATAAGTCAATTGGCATAACTACGCCCCTACAAGCTGAACTCTAGGCTATCTACATTGGCCTTCAACTCGCTTGGACTCATGGTTTCGATTTATTACAGATGCAGTCAGATAGTCTACAAGCCATTAAGCTGTTTAATAAGGCCATTTTGGACCGGGATTTGTTCCCGCTAGTTCGAGCTATCTCCTCGTTTTGCTGCTGTAGCTGGTATATTGAATTCCTTTGGGTTCCACGCGAGGGAAACATTTCTGCTGATGGAATGTCCAAGCTTCCTATTGTTCAGAATTATGAGCTGCTTTCCTTTCCCACTACACCTGCTACCATCGTGCCTCTACTTAAAAGGGGCATTTTAAGGCCTTCTTATTTAAAGGCTTCATCTAATTATTAAAGCTTTTGTCTTTATTACATTAAAAAAAATATACCAAAATAAAACAAAATTATAATTTAATTGAACATAACAAAATTATTAATTAGGACTAATATGTCATACCGTATTTATTATATTATTCTAGAATATCTTTTTATTAAAATAAGTTGACAGGTCAAAGGTGTAATTACCGGAATTAAGTATTTTATTACTTATAATAATAAAAAAATGAAACCGCCATCGCTATAATTGTAAACCTAACAAAATCCCGTTTAATTGGAGCGTTACAGTTAAAACAACATTCCACGTGGAAGAATCTGGTTGGTTTTTTATTCCTCCAATTTTCACACTCTTTCCCATTTCGTGCCGTTTTGGTCTCGATCCTTTGTTTTCTCTCGTCTTTCCGGTCGGTGTATTTTCCGGGAAAATCCAAATTTTCCCGACGGCATTCCCGACCGGCGATTGTTCCTTCTTTTCTTTTCTTTATCACTTCAAAATCTTAAAATTCGAAACATTTCCGGCGTTTTGGCCTTTGAAGCCTAGAGTCTTCCTTTTTGTCCAGATCGCTTGATTTTCCCGCTAAACCTCTTCTCAATTCCCGAATTAATAAAATCGAGCTCTAATTTTTTTAAGCAATAACACTGCAATCTCTGGATTCGAAATAGGATTCAGAACAAGTTTCTGATTCAGGTAAGTTGTTATTTTTTTTTCAATTAATTTGTTTTCATTCGATATGTCATTGATGGAAAATCTACATGATTAGCAGGGATTAGATATGGAAAGTCAGAGCGGTTCATCGAGGCGAAGTTCATCATTGGCAAACGTGTCGTCGACAAGGAAAAATTTACCGGAGAATGGAGGTTCCGACTCTAGTCGAAAACTCGTACCATCTTCTCGTCCTATGTAGGCCTTTCTTTTCAAGTCTTATTTGATTTTTTTCTTTTTAAGATTTTTTTTAAAAAATATATTAGCTTATTTTGAATATTGAAGAAACTATTGAAGTTTTGTGTAAATTAAATTTCGAAAAATCGCATTTATTTGAGAAGAAAAATGTTTTTGCGGTTGAGTCTTAGGTTTAAGGTCAACTGTTGAATATTTCCTTGGAAGCTTATGTTGTTTGCCTGTATAAAGGAAAGCGGTGTTGACAGGTATATCCAATATTATGGAAGTTGTATATCATTGGCAACCATGATGTTTTTCCTCTTGAGCTTGTATGTGTCAGCGTTGCCCATGTTGCATGGCAGCATATCTGACATAGGAGCGTATAGCTTTACTTTCATTTGGATGGTCATATTCTCATGTTAATAAGTATATGTACACGTTGAGGTGTCAAATGCCTGTCTAAAATGGATACTTCAATTACGTTGAAGGGTTGCACCTGGAACAATATGTGTTTCTGTTTAGTTGCATTGCTTTAAACACGAACCTTTAAAATTTGTCCACACTCTAAAAACTTTCCCCTTTCTTTGAAATCTTAAGTCCTGAGGAGTAGAAGCTTCTGTCACTTGTTAACTTGAAAAGACAATGAACTGTGTATATTACTAGATTTATTTTGTATTTTCTTTAAATTTTTTAAAGTGGATAAAATTCACAGCGGCCAGTAATGATTTGTGAAAATTCGTATTTTTATTGTGTTCATTCTGTCAAATCAGTAATGAAAAAAGGTTCAGATTCTGTAGTTCCAACCAATTTGAAATTTTATCTTGAAAGTAGTAATTTAACTATTCGTATCTACTTGCATGTGGAAAGGGGACTAGCTGGAGAGCGTACTGTGAAGAGGTTGCGGCTTTCAAAGGCCCTGACTGTACCTGATAGTACAAGCATTTATGAAGCTTGCCGTAGGATGGCTGCTCGTAGGGTTGATGCTTTATTGCTTACTGACTCTAATGCATTACTTTGCGGGATCCTCACAGACAAGGTATTACTGACTTCCTCGTAAACTGTTACCAATTCCTTTTCATTTAAAATGTTGAAACTAGTGGACGGGATACAAACTGCATGAATTATTTCTGCCTACTGAATTATAACAACTATGATGTGTCTTATTTATTGGTTCTTTTTCTTTATTGACTGAAGGACATAGCAACAAGAGTGATAGCCCGGGAGCTTAATCTGGAGGAGACACCAGTTTCAAAAGTAATGACCAAGAACCCTGTATTTGTTCTTTCTGATACTCTTGCAGTGGAGGCACTTCAGAAGATGGTGCAAGGTTGGTCCTTTGTTTTGTATATCTAGTTTCTATGTGATATGTTTTCTCAGATCTTACCTCTAATGTTGTTCATATATCATTCTAAACAGGAAAGTTTAGACACTTGCCTGTTGTAGAAAATGGGGAAGTCATTGCTTTGCTTGATATAGCTAAGTGTTTGTATGATGCTATTGCTCGAATGGAAAGGGCTGCTGAAAAGGGAAAAGCTATTGCTGCTGCAGTTGAAGGAGTAGAAAAAAATTGGGGAACGTCTCTCTCTGGTTGGTGGATAATGTTTTCTTTTGTCTTCAATGAAGTACTTTAACTTTTGGCCCTTGTATTTGTCTGTACCTGTCGCCCTTTTACTTTTGGCCCTTGTATCATGCATTTTCTGGTTTAATTTAGCTATCAGTTGACATGTTTTAAGATCTCTATTTTTTGGGGTGATATGCAGGTCACAGCACATTCATTGAGACACTTCGTGAGCAAATGTTCAGGCCCTCACTGTCTACGATTATCACAGAAAATCAAAAGTAGGTAATACTTTCTTTTTGTTATATCTATCTGGTCCTTTATACAACATATATAGATGATATTTTGTTTATTTGTAATACTATCAATATCTTAGTTTAACACAATGCCATTTATTAGGATTGTAACAGTTTCACCAGATGACTCAGTTTTAGTGGCTGCAAAAAAGATGCTTGAATCTCGAGTAAACTCTGCAGTTGTGACGGTTGAAAACAAACCACGAGGGATTCTAACGTGAGTCTTTTTTTTTTATCAAATTTCAATTCAACATTGTGTTCAATATGTGGCTGAGGGAGGGCAGGAAGGTGTATTATCAATCTGTTTTACTTTCCATTGTTACTGTTTGTTTTTGGCATATACTCTAACCCATGGCTATGAATTTCTTACAGTTCGAAGGATATATTGATGCGGGTAATAGCACAAAATCTGCCTCCTGAGGCTACTTTTGTGGAGAAGGTATTTGCCACTTTTGGATCTCATGTTTTCCTTTTTATTTATATTGACCTTATAAACTTTTGTATCAACTCATCATTTTTCACCTCAATAATATGCTCATCATTTTGCTTTTGATTCGATGTATAGGTCATGACTCCTAACCCAGAATGTGCAATAGTTGACACGCCAATTGTTGATGCTTTGCATACCATGCATGATGGAAAATTTTTACATCTCCCTGTTGTAGATAGAGGTGATATGAGTTACTACTTTGCAAAGAATCTAGTGTTGTACATGCACTAAACCAGTTCTTATTAAGTTTCTGTGGTTGGATACAGATGGAGAGATAGTTGCTGTTTTTGATGTAATCCATATTACTCATGCTGCTATTGCCACTTTAAGTCAAGTCAGTATCTTTCTAAGATTATGATGTTCTTGAAGTAATTTTACAGGATAAGTTCTGTAACGTACAGATATTTATTCAAAAGCATTCAACTTGTTACGATGTACTCGTGTTCTTCAAAACTAGGTTGGGAGTACCTCTGGAGTCAACAATGAGGCTGGCACAACAATGATGCAGAAGTTTTGGGATTCTGCAATGGCCTTACCTCCCAATGAAGAGGATGTTGAGAGTCGAAGGTTTGTTTTGTTGATGTTTCTCTGATCATATAGTTGTGATTTCTGCCATTACTGTCTACTAACTCAGTGATTTTTCAGTGATGGAGTAGAGACAGGGAGATCTCTTTCCTATCCGTTTTCCAATATTCCAAATACATTTGGCTTCAAAATACAAGATAAAAGGGGCCGAATGCATAGATTTACTTGTGGTATGTTATTGATTTTATTTTCCTATTAACAAAAGGTTTCCTTTATGTACTAATACTAGTCTATTTAAAGGGCATTAAATACTAAAACCCTAAGCAGAATTTCAATCAAAAACCTAAAAGATCTGGTTTTCTCTTTCACGAGTCCAAAGGTTTCAGTCTATCTTTGATGAGCTGAAAAGTTTCAGTCTCCCTTCGACGAGCTGAACTATCAGTCCCAAACACACATGATCATAACAAATTGGCACGATCATAACATTTAGTGTTTCTTGTATTATCACTTGTTAAATTTGTGCAACCTAATCAAACCATTTCTTGGTCAACTTTTCCTTGACACTTGCTTCGATAATATTTTTTGGGGTTAAGTTCTGATCTTATGGTTTACATCTATTGTGTTATTTACAATTGGTTACTTGTCCTACAACTTAGCAGATTTTCAGTGGTCAGACGATTGCATTTCCCACAATCATGAGCATATTATCGGAGGGATCTAATTCTTCAGTAACACCTTTCACCATCCCTGTCGATAAGTTGTATCTAATTGGATTTTTGTCTGTTGCTTCTGTATACAGATACACGGAGTTTAACAGATCTAATAACAGCAATCCTCAATAGGCTGGAGGATGACATTGATAGAAACAATGTGCCTCAAATATTGGTAGGTTTTTTTTTTTTTGTGTAATAATACTTGCTCCAAATTTTATGCTAATTGGAGGGTATATCATGCAGTATGAAGATGAAGACCATGACAAAGTTGTGTTGGCATCCGACACTGATCTTTCAGAGGCTGTTGAGCATGCAAAGTTAGCTGGTTGGAAGGTATGATTGGACTGTGTAGTTTATATAGATTTACGCCTAACTGACCATTTTATGGCGCACTTTACTCTTAATTCCCTAATAATAATATAGGTTTGTATGATGAAATGTTGCTTGGAACTATATTTGGCTCGTAGTATGACCCTAAAGAAAAAAATGTAAAACAGAAAATGATCTTTAGTAGGTATGCATGGGATATATGTGGTGTTTAGACGTTAGTGTGCAATTTGGATCTCTCTGCGTATTAGTTCATTCTAAAGTCAGCATCTTATTTGTAGCAGTGGAAACTTCTTTGAATTCGTCATCTCTTATGCTGAGACAAATGATCATATGACTTTTGCAGTGCTTGAGATTGCATCTAGATTATTCAGGAACAAAAATTCATCGAAGGAGTTCTGGTTCGGGAAGCCTAGATTATGCTAACGCCGATGCATGGTCTGCTGCATACAGCGCTGTTGCAGCCGGGGCTGCAGTTGCTGCTGGGATCGGCTTATTAGCATACTTGAAGAGATCCGGGAATTAGCACCGGTAGAAACTTTTCCCATTTGTAACTCACAAATTTCAAGAGGAAATGTAACAACTTTCCCTTAGATAAATGGTGCTTGATTTCAATTCTTTTTCGGATCGAATCGAGAAATAATCTTTTTTCTCAGGTTTCTGCTTGCCACAGCTTAGAATGTTGAGCTATGGTTGTTTCTCCATTATTTTTATCACTGAAACTTAATGAATGGAATATATAATAAACAGTACCATTAAATGATATAAAAGAGCCTTGCTTCATATTCCAGTTTGCATACGTGGGCTTGTAAATGCTCACTGATATAATAAACAGTACCATTCTTTTTATGATCCTTGATTAACTTAATGTTTATACAAATAAGAATCCCTTTGTTATAATACATATATATATATATAGGGTTAGGATTAATTTAATTTTATACAGATTTAAGACCATTTGATTAGTGAAAATAGATGGTTGAGATTAATTTAATGTTTTTTTTCTTGTGAATATCTTTTCATTTCTACTATTAGTCATTTATTTTCATCAATTTAACAGTCATAAATCTGTGTAAAATTAAAAGAATTTTACATTATGTAATAAGATTGTATCCCATGTGTGTATATATATATATATATATAAGTAAATGTTAAATATGAATATACATCTAATGTGAGTAGGTTTAATTTTTTTTTCAGATGATCGTATATTTACTCTTGGATCCTATCTGACTCACGGTCGCAAATCCGAGTTTGTTAACGAAGAGCAGAACTAATTTTGCATTATTCTGCTATCCGTCGCATCCAAGTTTGCTTACGAAAATGGGAAATAATGCTACATTATTAATCTATATTGCGGAAATATTATTAAAAAATTAATTTATAATATTAACAGAAAGTATAAATAAAATTATTTTTATAAATCTATATTATTATTGATTTTATGATTAAGTTGGTTTCTCGGATTAATTAGATATAAATTCAATTGAGAAAATTCAAAGATTTTTCTAGTTAAATAGAGTTGATGGGAACAATTTGGTTTTGTCGACCTTGGCAGTTCAACTTCTCTGATTTGAACGAAAAGGAGAATAGTCGATGGCCCTTATGTTTATGTTGAAGAGAAGAATGTGATTGGTGTATATGGGAGCTCAAATGGAAGAAGAAGAAACTATTTTTTCTTTTAGTCTCTGGATACGAATATTCTTATCATAAGATGATTAGTGTCAAGTCTAGGGTCATCATTCCTGCTAATAGGATGATGAGTGTCATACGACTATCAATCATCAGATTTGGTTATCAAAAATCGCGTCGGCTGAGGAGTGTGTGCTCTGTATGGCAATCCGATGCTCTGTATGGCAATCCGATGGAGGGTGGTTACGGAAATGACTTGGTGTCTCTGGAGATCTTTTGGAGGCTCCAATGGGAGGGGTATGATCCTCCAAGGTCCTTGTTGGCGGATATTTGATATTCTCCAAAGGTATAACATCTTGTCTGCTCTTAGTCAAGGAAATACAATAAAGTGGTACGATCTTAGACTATCATTTGGTTTCATGTTATGCTTTAACTGGGTCATCCTTTGGGGTACTAATAATAATGTTTCTAGGATAGTTGGAGAAACTGCACACGTGTTGGCTTGTAATTAGAGTGGTTAGGCGATACAATATTCAAACCATTTTGGGGTGCCACATTCGTTTACTATTTAAAGGGGTTTTTTTTTTTTGAAGACAAGACTCTTGAATCCTTAATCTCTCTCTCTTAAAAGTTTTGTCTGTCTTTCAACTCTCCGGTCAGAATGACAAAAAAGAGTGTCGTCGCATGTCTACTGTAGAGGGTGCGACCTTCATATGCAAAACTAGAAGAGATGAGGTCAGGAATCTTCTACTGATTCGAGGTTTACTATGGGAAAATTTTAGGTTTGAGTTTGAGATTCCTTCAGGGCCATGTTATGTGAGTGATTGTTGCAAGGTTTGTGACAACGATCAAGCCCTTGTTTGCTCGAGGCAGGTCTTTACCTTTCGGTGCATAGTTTCATGAGGGGTGTTTTGAATGATTATGGGCTTGCTATTGGTCAATTGACTAGAGTTTCTTGGTGGATCCTCATGGATATTTCATTTACTACCATAAAAAAGGATGGTCGACCTCATCAATCGTCTAGTGGAATCTCTTTACTTTAAATGTTGTGACCCAGAAAACATGTTTGGACCTTTTGAGCTTTACGCGGAGGCACATGAAGGGCCTGAAATTAAGGAGCCCATCGTGGATTAGAGTAGCAAGGAAAAACTGGTCTTGGACCGCTATAAATTTGTCAAGGTTATCCATAAGTTATCCAAAAGCTTTAAGTTTTGCCTTGAGGGGGACATTCCACATTGGTTAAGGACCAAAGTTTGGTGAGCAAGTGTCTTTGGGATGCTAGTAATTTTAGGAAAATGTGGCCCTATGAGGGAGTAGGTCACCTAGCGAAGGTACTACTCGGGAGTCAGGACGAGGAAGAGGACACTATTTGTAAGGTCCCCGTAGACGATGGATGAATGCGTGTTTGCCTAAGAGCTCTGCTAGGAAGTTTAGAGAATCACACATTCATCCGTCATCTTAAGATTCTTGTAGAAGATGGATGAATGGGCATTCACCTAAGAGCTTGGCCATCCTTTATTCAATCAAATAACAAAATAATCTTTCAGTTGGTTAGAAGTTCAAAATTCAAATTAAATCCCACATCAATTTCGATTTTACTTAAGGATCCTAAACAACAAAAGGCAACAATTTTGGTTTCTAGCATAATCACCAATGTGGAAACAATGATTCAAATCTTCTAAAAGCATGTATTTTGTATATTCTTCTCCTATAAATTTGATTAAAGGCCAGCAATCGAGAAACTAAAATATATCAATTAAGAACGTGAATCAAAATGAATTCAAAATTTTCCCCACACAAACTAAAAATTATCTTCAATGCTTTTATCCACATGCTCAAAATATTAAATAAAGCGATAAAAAGTTTGGGAGAAGAAAAACTCCCTTATTTCGACATAGATGCCTCCATAACGTGAGTGGAAAGAGGTTGAAAGTCCATATGATCGAAGAAGACTTTTTTTGTTGGCCTCCATGTTTTGAATTCTCCTCTAAATACTATTGTAATTCCTAAAAATTAAAATTAAAAAGATAAACTTTTCATGGGTTGTCTCCCATGCGACACATTTCTTTAACAACTTTGGCTAGACATAACTACCACTTTAGTAACTTGCATCAAAGAATTTCCTTTGGTTACCGATTTCATATAACATTGTATTGCATTACTTGGCAATTCGACATGTCTTGTGTTCTAATTCAACAAAGAGATGATACTTTAAATAGTCAGGCAAAGACATCAATTCAAGTTTTGGCTCTATGAAATTCTCTCTTTTAATCGGTTCAAAGCTTTATACATAAAATGGAAGGGAAATGATCACGTCAGGCAGCCTTAATATACAGCTAAAAAAGGCGCTACCGATTTTGTTATTATTTAAATAACAAAACTAGTAAAAATATACCGGAAACAATATTATTTCTATCGGTTTTGTTATTATTGGGCGTTTTATTGGTTTTGTTAATAAAACCGGAAAAGCGTTATCGGTTTTGTTATTGTTGGACACTTTACCGAAAATGTTAAAAAATATTGATGTTTTAGGTAGAAATAATAATGTGTTAGATAATTTTTTACCGGTTTTGTTATTTAAATAATAACAAGACCGGTAATGTCTTTTTTTAGTTATATATTAAAGATGTCGCACTGTAGAACTTCCCAAAATGGACTAATGACATCTAAGGCAAATAAAGCAAATGCATCTCTAAGATTTCTTATGACATCATTATGTTGAACTTGATGACTTCTCCATCAAACACGATAGTAAGAGTACCATCATGCACTAAGAAAATCAAATTAGGATTACTAGAGTCTTTTTCTTCCATATCAATGATATCGAAATCTATAGGAAAAACCTGTCCGTTAACATGAACTAAATAATCTTCCAAGTTGAAAATGAGGTACACATTTGATTGATCGGCCAGTTAAATGATGACATTTATCTTTTTAAGGTGACATATTTTGTTAGCAGAATAAATAAAATGAGGATTAACAATAATGGATGCTCCTAAATCTAATATGAACTTTTCGATTTTGACATTATCAATTTGACATGAGAAAGTTGTCGACAGCGTTTTTCGTTTGGGCGGGGAAATACCGATACCGACTCGGGGTTCTCTCTTTGAAAAGTGTTTTCGAAATGTGAGGAGTCGCCACCAATCATTTAAGGTGCGATTAGGACACCGTAAAAACTGGGTGATTTTAATAAAACATTTTATTTTTATAAAAATACCAAGTTTTAAGGTATGTGAAAATCTAGAAATCAGGTTCGGGAGTCAGTTACGCGTGGGGAATGATTAGCACCCCCACAAGCGCCCAAAAATTGGTACCTAGTTGATTACCCTATATTTAAAATCAGAAATTTTGAGTTCGGTCTTTATTTAATTTGAAAATCATTACAGATGCAAAGTTGAAAAGGGTATTCGTTTATTGAGACCGATAGCATTCGCTCCCAAGCGTAAATGCGGGAGATCACCTATTGTGCATAATAACCGAATATTGCCTTGTTTTTAGAAAACTATGATGCAATCTTTGAAAATGATGTCGACCTATTTCGAGAATCACCAATAATCTCCCCCTGAGCATACTTGCGGGAGATATACCATTAATTCCCTAATAAGTGAACATTGCCTTAGATTTATAAATAAAAGTAATTAAGACTTTTTCTAGCTTAAAGCGTCAAATTATAAAATTAAAGGAACATAGAGGCCTCAAACCTTAAAATGTAGGCTCTAATATTAATCCTTTTTTATTGTAATCATTTATTGAATCGAATAACCGAGATGATCCCTCGAGCATTTACGCGAGGGTCGACTCGAATTATCTCCTAAGTTAAAAGACTAGTTTGAAATCTAATCTAAAATGGAGGCTCTATTTAACCTATTTAATTATGTCAATATTAAAAGTCTAATTGAAATTCGTGGACTAAAGGTCAAGATCTATAAAACCAATTTCTAAAAGATCTAAAAGCGTAGTACCTAAGTTGATAATTTCTAAAATCGAGGACTAATTAAAACCCTTAATTATTATCTAAATTATTACACTTAAAGTTTTTTAGAAAATATTAAGCATTAATTAATTTTAGAATCGACCAATCGGTTCGAGTAATCAGGCATGTTATGCGAAAACTCGACTCGAATTGC